GGCAAGCACCAGGCGCCTATTCCCATTATCAATAAAGACACCCAATTCTCCACATACAGGTCTGCAGATATCGCACACCCCGGGGCAGAAAACAAGCTTATAATCATCTTCAAATCTTTCGATTTTAAACCAGTTGTTCAGAGTTTCACGCCCAAGGTTACCTTAACACCGCCTGTTGCCACCGAGAACTTTTGTAACGATTCATCGAAGGTAAGTGTCCACAGAGTGGTTTGGACACAGGTTGAAGAAGCATTGAATATGACGTTGAGATCAGTGGATACACCGTACACGTACAACACCACCTTGCTGCTCGACGTTCACTGGCGAGAAATATAATGGGAGACCGTTTGACACTTCCTGCTGCTCTTGAACGACGACCAGCGGGCACCCGGTCTCGGTGTCGGCGCTGTCGAGAGTGAGCCCGCCTCCTCTACCGCGGATCACCGGTAAAACGTAGTTATCGATGCCTGTTCGGTGCTCTTGACCCGACTAGTTGAGCACTGCATCGGGTTCATCAGTGGCTATTGTTGAGCTAAAGAGAGGAAAGTAATTGCTAAAAATAATGCGGTCTTCATTGTGTTTGTGATGCCTAGCTTCTGTTGATTTGTGCCTTGATGTTCAAGGCATTTATAGAGCTAGTGGCCAGTGGGTAACTCAGAGGCATAATCAAAGATCTTCATGAACTTAGGCAAGAACGAGTTGCCTTTTGTGGACCAAATCATGATGGATAGAGAGATGTTCAGAGTATATCGTATTTTTTGGAAATTTTATTTTTTTTATTATTTATATAATTTTTTGTAATTTTTATTAACGACCTAATTTTGTATCCTTAAAATTTTTATTATTAGTTTTTAAACTTGTATTCATCACATAAATTTATGTATTCGTCCCTTAACCAAACACTTCCTGATATCATGAATCAACTAAAAACAATTTTTTATATCAAATTGTATTCAATCTAAAATTTTGGATACTTGAAAATTCAAATCACTAAAATTATGATTCGAATCTGATTAAAAAAAACTATATATTCAAATTGTTCGAATATATAAATTTTCGGATTGAATATCCAAATATTTGGATCCGAACATAAAATTTAATTTAATAAAAAAATAAATTTTATATTTAGTGAATTTATGCAACATCCTAATTGCATCTACTATATAATATATTCAATTATCCTCATGTAATAATCCGCATGTAATAAACAATTAAACATCCTAATTTTTATTGGGTTATAAAGGTTTAGTGGACTCACTTATTGAGCTAGAAAACTGTCTAAACTCCAAATGTTCAATTTTTATCGGATTTTCGAATATATGAAATTAGAATTTAATTTGTTCGTATTCGATCTAATTATTATTTTTTTAGACTGATTCTAATTATCTGAAAATTAAAAAAAAGATTAGATATTCGAAATTTTAAATCGGATCAATAGATTAGATTGATTGGATTCACACCCTAATTGTGATACGGATTTGCTCAATACGTGAAGCTACCATGTTGCTTGCAGCAAAGAAGAAGAAGAAAGTCATGGGATATTGGCCATATTCAAAATTGAAGGTCGTCTAACTAGTGGATGTAATTGTTTTCATTTATCAAATTGTCTATGAAGAAACATTTTAAATCTTCAAGTCTAAACTTTGTGAAATTTTCAAAGTTATTGCATTTTATCTTTTGTATGCATGGTTCCCTCGGTTCTAACGTTTTGCTTTGACTTAATTCGAATCGATTCACGTCATACATCTTATTTTAATAGGTGCGTCTCCTAGTCAGAATTTTCTGAATACACAAGAACTCGAACTCAAAACGTTATTTAAACAATATCAAATTTGACTTTAAATATGAACAAATTTCGATCCAATTTATACATATTTAGTTTCATATTAAAGTACGAATTTAATCCTCAATCATTAATTAAAGTAAAAAAATCTTATTATTATCATCTCATTTTGATCCTGTTTAAATTTCTCATCATTAATCTTCACATCTAACATGAATTCGAGAATTTGAAGAAGAAAAAAAATTAACAAAATTGATTAGTGATTACTATATTTTAATTAAGCAACTTTGCTAATATTATTATTCAAACGCTTGAACATATTTTTAATAAAAAATGTTTGAATATATTTTAATAGTATGAGGTGATTACAAAATAATATTTGTTCAGAACTTTTTTAACACATTAAGAACGCATACACACCTTGCAGACACACATAGTTACACGAACCTAGAACCTCTAAGAAGAATAACATTCTTTTTTTACTATCAAAACCACTTGATGAGTCCGTTTGAATATATTTTAACTAGGTTTAATACAAAATTAAATATCTAAATTATGTCTCGAAAAACGTTTTACTACGTAAGGAATTTTGTGCTAAAAATATTTGTATAATATTTTTTTATTACCATTTTAAGTGTTCAGACATTTACCGCTGTTAAAAAAACTCATTAAATGACTCATGTGCCCCCCATCATTCCCTTCTTCTGTGCTCCCCATCATCCCCATCCTTCAATTAATTATATTTAATAATAAATTTGGGACATTTAATAATAATTTTGAGATTATGATTAGGAATTTAGTTATTAGGTTTAAGGATTTATATTTAGGATTTTATAGATTTAGGGAGATTTTGATGTTCGATTTGTTGTAAAAGTATGAGCGTTTTTGTCGTGGGTGGTTGGCTGATCACACACCGTTGGGTGTTCGACCGATTGACAACGTTGGTGGTGGCCGTCGACAGCAACGAGACTAAAATGAATGTTTTAAAAGTTTTGAGTTTTTTTAAGATTTGAAAAAAATTAGATTTTTATAAAATTAGATTTTTTATTTTAAATAAAAATTCTCAAAATTACCAGGACGTGACATGTGTCACTTAATGGAGATTTTTAAAGGCAATTAATGTTCGGGTACCTGAAAATATAACAGAGAAAACGTTAGAAACTTATTTTTAGCAAAAAAAAATTAGACACTAAAATTTTTCGATACATATCTAAGTCTTTTTTATTAAGTCAATAAAAAAGTGTTCAAACTATACTTCAAAAAATGTTTTAGTGCCTAAAGAATTTATCGCTAAAAATAAATGTCTAACATTTTATCTATTACAATATTACTATTTTAGATGTCTAGGTGTTAACCACTGTTTAAAAAATCAATAAATGACACATGTCGTGTCATGTTCGGTAATATTGATATTTTTAAGATGTGTATTTTAACAAAAGGCTCAGATCTTTTTGGGTAAAATACGTCTCATACCATTTAATTATGTGTTTAATTATAAATGAGTTACTCAATTAAAAAATATTACAAATGTCACTGACCATTAAAATCGAAACAAATGTTTCATTTGTCTTGGTATAATAAGAACTTTAATCTCAAAATGTATACATTTTTTTATCAATTTAGTCTTAATTCAAAATAATCTAATAAATTTAACTGTTATATTTAGCCCCTTTTTTATGATACCATAAATCAAGCGAGTTTGTTTGATCAAAGTAGCAGCTGAATAATTGCATTTCACCATAAAACAACAACAAGATAATTAAGTTGTTATTATACCAAGAAAATAATATAACATTTATGACAAAAGAACCAGTAATTTAAGAGAACAACAAAGTCAAAATTGATAGAATTTTAAATATAAAGAATTAAATTAATTTTTTATTAATATAAGATGATTATAAGGTAATATTTGTTCTAAAGATCCTCTACTATTTGACAATTAAAGCTCAAACACCCTTGCAATATATGTTACTCAAACTTGGAACTACTAGAGATAACAACATCCCTTTAACCACTAAAATATTTGGTTCATGTAATTTATTATTTTAAATTAAAATCAAAATAATATAATGTATAAATCTTAGAACTAAAACTATTTTTATAACATTACAATTACAAAATTATTAATATCCACATTATTATAACATTAAATTAAAATCATATTATTATATCTTTTATTATTTAACATCCATATTTATAACATTACAATTACATTATCAGGTAGAAAACATAATCTTTTAACAACTTTTAAAAGTTTTTAAATATATTTATTCTATGAACTTACATTCGGTGGACATTGCAATTACTTTCTTAAGTTATTAATATATATTAATTGTGAATATAAAATGTTAAAATTGATCTTTTGAGTCGTCGAAAATTACAAAGTAATTATTGATTATGAATTTTTAGACAAAAAAGCTTACGTCATAATTAATTCATGTTATATTTTAATTGTAATCCTAAAATTCTTAACTTTTAATATTTTAATAATATATATATATATATATACTTAAACTCATCGAATGATTTTTGTAGTAAAAGATAATATTATCTTTTTAGAGGTTTTGGATTCGAGCAGTTATGTATATAAAATGTACACAATATTAATAAATTAAAAAATCTAAATAAATATGATCTTATAATTATCTCATAATATTAAAAAAATGTATTTAATTCATGTTATAATCTAGTTTTTATTTCTTACAACCTCATCATATATTTCTAAATCAGCCGTTGAAGAAATGGAGCATTCAACTACTACATACTGTTACTCTTTCTGTGAACCACAGGTGGACCTTTCAAAAACGACATGAACCACCACAGGGACTCATTAAGCTACAAACTAGACAAGGATTGCTAGTGTGTACCGTAAAAGATTAAATAATTCTCGAAATTAAACCATTAGTTCATGAGCTAGACTTTCTACCTTAACAGAAGTCATTCCTGGTTAGTTTGAACCGTAAAAGATACTGCAAGGCTACATCAGCTTCCCCCCTCAAGCGTGAGAAAACACAATGTAGCTTGCACAGTAAGGAAGAAACACAAGGATGTTAGCCTTTGAACATACTTTCTACCTTCCATCATACTGATAAGCAAAAGATGTTGAACGCCATAACCATAGCTTTAGCTTAACTCCTACTCGTAAAAAGAAAAACACTCATAAATAAATAAAGCTACCTCTCATTTTTTTCTCATCTTTTCTCTTTGAACATGAGCTTTGTAGCATCATCATCTCCTTCAGCAGTCATGATGAAATCATGCAGAGGAAAGCTACCTCTTTCTATTATCACAGTTGCACTATGCAGCTTTGCTTTCCTTGCTCTCTTATATACGGAAAGACTAAGCTTCATCTCTTCGAATTCTCTTCTCAGTTCTAGATCCTGTGCTAGAAGAAGTTCTGCTGTAAAAGCTAGTAAGTGATTCAACAGCCTTTTTTCTTCTAGCAGATAGGGTTTAGTTCTATAACTGTGTGATTAATTTGCAGAGAAAATGGTGGGAAACCCTGAACTCGACGACAGGTTCGAGTTCGACCCGGAAGAATGCGACATAACTCGGGGGAAGTGGGTGTTCAACCGTTCTATCAAGCCTTTGTACACCGATAGGAGTTGCCCGTACGTGGAGAGGCAGTTTTCTTGTGAAAAAAATGGACAGCTTGAGTTTGATTACCGTCATTGGGAATGGCAGCCAGACGACTGTTACTTGCCTAAGTAAGCAACATTTTGTTCCTTTCATTTGAGTTGATTGCAGTCTATATAACTCAATATTTAAATTAGTCCAAAAAAATTTAAATGTTTTAATTGATTTTAAAATATTATTGTACATAAAATTAAAAAAATATACTTAAACCGCTAAAATGTAATATATGTTTAGAATATTTCTGATCCTATTGACAATGCACATACACACAATTGTTCGAACTCAAGTCCTCAAGAGATAATAATATTATCTTTTAACACTAAGGTCATTTAATGGATTCTACTATATGGTAAATTTAAATTAGAATTGAAGAAACATAATTAATACAATATTGATGTTTGAAAATTTAAACCCGAACTAGAGTGTTTCAAACTTTAAAATTAATTTAAGAGGACTTCGGGTGCAATTAACCTTTTTTCCATTTCATTCTTTTGTTTTTTCCTTCTAATGTTTTCTTTTTATTTATAGATTTGACCCAGAAGTTGCACTCGAAAAGCTTAGAGGGAAGAGGCTAGTCTTCTCAGGGGATTCCCTTCAAAGAAATCAATGGGAATCTTTCGTTTGTATGGTGGAATGGACTATTCCTCCCGAAAAGAAATCTATGACACTAGGCAAAGTTCATAATGTCTTCAAAGCCAAGGTATAGTCTTCATTATTGCGCCTTCCACATTGCTTTAAGGTAAATCTCACACTTCACTGACCCTCTTTAGGTCAAACATAAGTAGGCAGTGCCGAAACTCGGAGATAGAGTTTGGGGGGGCAAACTCAAAATTTTAAAAATTTTGGAAGTTTAAATTAAGATTTTTAAAAATGTTGAAGAGTTTAGATTATATTTTTTTCCAAAAAAAATTAGGGTCTAACTACAATTTTTGAAAATTTAAGAGGCTTTATGAGAATTTTTTTTAAATATGGGAGGGGATTTAATTAAGAATATTAGAAGAATTTTAAATTTAATTTGAATTTAAAAAAAATTGAGTAGTCAAATTGAATTATTTAAAATTTTGAAAGGTTAAAATTAGATTTTTTTTTTAATTTTAGGGGGCATGACCCCCTCTAATCTAGCTTATGTTCTGCACCTGTAAGCAGATTTTATCCGAAGATAGTCAAATTACTCGAATCCGACAAATTTTGATGAGTTAATAGTATACAACTTAACCGACCCTGTTAACACTTTTTTTTCTCTGTTTAGGAATATAATGCAACAATTGAGTTTCATTGGGCTCCATTTCTAGTTCAATCCAATACGGATATTAATATCAAGGAAGCGAAGAAGAGAATCATCAAAGTAGATTCAGTTTCAAATACCTCAAAAGACTGGGAAGGAGCTGATATCCTTGCCTTCAATACTTACGTTTGGTGGATGTATGGCATTAGGGTCAAAACATTGTAAGTTCTCCTCTGCCTATCCTTGTATCTGTTCCGAGTCAAGCTTGATTAAAACCTGGTATTCTACATTTAGTTCGATCTCAATCGAATACAGTTGTTTGAATTTGAATTCGACTCGATTAAAGTTTATTTACACAATTTATATAATTTAACCTACATTTAGATTCGAACTCGCAACTTTTTACATTATTTTGTGATTTAAGAACAGGTGGGGTTCGTTCGCCAATGGTGAAGAGGGTTATGCACAGCTGGACACACCGGTTGCCTACAAAATTGGACTGAAGACATGGGCTAACTGGATCGATTCAAACATAAATCCCAACAAGACACGTGTTTTCTTCACGACTATGTCCCCTACTCATTCAAAGTACCGTTTTATTTCTCATATTCCTTTTCTTGGTTAAATTTATGATTTTGATCCTTCTACTTTGCTTAAAAGCTACTTTAGTTTGAGATAATTGCACAAGACGTCTCCAAACTATGATCACATTATGAATTATTTTTGAACTTTAAAATATTTAAGATCGATTCTCAAACTATGATCCCCGTCCTAATTTAATCCCTAAATCATACAATATTTTGAATGAATATGCTGCCAACGCTACTGGTTGAAAATTGATATACTTTTTAGGGTCTATGGAATGAACATGTCTAGAAGACTAGAATCTTCAAAAATAGATAAATCTTATTAGGTTACAAGTTCAATTCTCGTGACCTCTAAAATTCAATAAAACTAACGACAATCTAGAATGCTTTAAAGTTTTGGGATTAATTTAGAATGAGATCATAGTTTGAGGATTGGCATAAAACGTTTTAAAGTTTATAGAATTAAAAAAGTCATAGTTTGGGGACTGATATATAATATTTTAAAATAAGTCATATTATGTATTTCGTTTAAACACATGTTAACTATTGCGTTTAAAATGCTAAGGTGATTTTTTTTATTAAATATTATCCATTCACACACACACACACAAATGTATTATAGCTGAAATAGTTAATGGTGTCAGTAATTTGGACAAATCAGTAGATGAACAAATTATACGAAATTAAAGTAGAAAATCAAAGTCAAAATTTAGACATATCAGGGGACCAAAATCCTAATTTGACCTTTCCTTCGAACGCTAATTTTATTGTGCAGGAGCCAGGAGTGGGGGAGGGAAGATGGGCTGAAATGCTTCAACGAATCAGAGCCATTGAAGAAGAAGAATTTCTGGGGAAACTTCGCCGCAAACAAGGAGATGATGAGCGCAGTGGATGAAGTGATGAAGAAACTGAAAGTTCCAATTTCGGTTCTTAACGTAACGCAACTTTCAATGTACAGAGTCGATGCACATTCATCCATTTATACAGAGACCGGGGGAAAGCTTCTGACGCCCGAGGAAAGAGCAGATCCAAAGAAACATGCCGATTGCATCCACTGGTGCTTGCCTGGAGTTCCAGATACATGGAATCAGATACTCTTTGCACATTTGTAGCCAGAACAAGGTTAAAACAAAACAGATAAAGTTTATGTACCAGTTATGTGCTATTACTTTTGTATCTGCAAGTTGTATTCTTTAGCCAGTTAAGAAATTTTGCATGGAATGTTGCATTATTCACCACTGTGCCGATTATCCAGTTATCTTCTTTGCTTGTCTACATCTTCTTGATCATTGAGAGTGCATTCCCTTCGATGATTTCTCTTCGAAACCCCAAATGCATGCATGGATAGATCGACGGGCCGACGAGCCGCCCTAAAAATTTCAAACTTTCAAAATATGAGCTACTGCCACGAAGGGATTTGATACATGATCCACTGGGATTAAACACGAGGCCATTGTTAGACCCTCGTGGTTTCTTGATACCAGAACACGACCTTTCATGGAATCCATCCGTTGAGGTAGGGAGGAGTAAACAAAATTCGATTTAACTCGAAAATTTTAAATTTTTTTGACTTGATCCAATGCTAAAAAACCTCGACTCGACTCATAATTTCATAAACTTGACTTGAATTAACTAGAAAAAAACATTCAAATAAAATTTGAGTTATAGAATAGCAACCGACTAACTCAAACTTTTAAATAATTAGTGGATTGATTTTCAAGTTTTAGATGAGCTCTTTAACTTTACATGATATATGTATATTACATATGAAATAATATGAAGAAATATATATGAATATCACGTATGGTTATAGGAAGTAGTTCAATTGAAATTAATTAGGACCATATCTGATTCGGTATACCTGTTAATGTTAGGCATATGTTATGTACAGTGTAAAATACCCAGAAATGGATTCTGGAGGTTTCTGAGAAAATTTTCCTATGACCAACATAAAGAATCACACTTTGTTCATTAACAGCCTGTGGAAAGTTTTGTCATAGTTTTTGAACAATCTAAGTTGAGCTCCTTTTCCATTTATTTCTATTGGTTGTTTCTTGTTTGTTTACTTGCATTGATCACTGCTCCATAATTTTTGCGAGAAACCCTAAAGGGTTTAGTTTATCTTTCTTTTTGGATTCTTGATTTTTCAGTCCTGCATTCCAGAGATTTGCTGTGAGGACACCAAGGAAGATAGAGGATATCTCCAGTATCGGTATGTGCTTGTTTCATCCGTTGCTATGGTCTTTTTCGACACTCTGTTTGTGAATTTATCCATCTTTATCCCACAAAAAGCCGACGAAAGAACTACTGATGTTCGGCTTTGGTTCGTGCAGCTGCAAAGAAGAGGGAAGAACTTGTTGAACAAATGAAAGAAATCTCGAAGAACATGGAGGTCAGATACAATTGTTTATCCGATAAGGTAAAATACGCAGAGTTTGATTCCCACGAAATAAGATGACAAAATGATCTGAAATAACTCAAATTTATCCGAGTAACTTGAAACTGTCGTATAATTTTTAAAAGGTTTAATACAAAAATAAGTGTCTAAATTATGTATCGAAAAATAGTTTAGTGTCTAAAGAATTTTTCGTTAAAAATAGGTGTATAATGTTTTCTCCATTACCATTTTAAGTTTCCGGATGTCAATCATCGTCAAAAATCTCCGTTAAGTAATATGTGTCACGTTTTGGTATTTTTTTTAAAAAAAAAATTAAAATAAAAAAATAGAAAATATGTTTTAAAAAACCTTAATTTTTTTCAATTCTTAAAAAAAACTCAACTTTTAAAACTTTAATTTTAATCTCGTTGTAACAATCGGTTGCCACCAATGCATTGATTGGCTGAACACCCAACAGCGTGTGGTTGACCAACTACCCACGACCAAAACCCTTGTACTTTTGCAATCAATTGAACACCTAAAAACGGTGTAAATGAAATATTTTATTTTAGGGTTTTGAAAAATTTATGTTTAGGAATTTATAGATTTAGAGGGATTTGGTGTTCAATCGGTTGCGAAAGTATGGGGGTTTTCGTCATGGGTAGTAGGCTGGTTATATGTCGTTGGGTGTTCAGCCGATTGAGGTATTGGTAGTGGTCGGCGGTGGCAAAGGGATTAAAATTAAAGTTTTAAAAGTTGAGTTTTTTTAAGATTTATTTTTTTAATATATATATATATATATATTATTTTTATTTAAATAAAAATGCTCAAAATTACCAGAACGTGACATGTGTCACTAATAGAGATTTTTCGTGGCGGTTAATGCCCGGTCACTTAAAATGATAACGAAGAAATTGTTAAACACCTATTTTTAACAAAAAATTATTGAGGCATTAAAACATTTTTTTGAAGCATAGTTTGAGCAATTTTTTTATATTAAGCCTTTTTAAAATATATAACTTGGAAAAGTTGGTAAAAATTATAAGATTTTATAGCATTTCAATTAAAACTTTTCATTATACCAGAAAAGAACTTCTTAATTTTATTAGATTTTATAATATTTATTTGATTTAAAAATATAATTAATAATAAATTTTTAGAGTTTTTTTTTTAATTGAAAAGAAACTTTACCCAAAGGATTAAACAACAGTAAGCCTACAATACGGAGCGTCTTCAATGTCTCGCTCGTGAGAGATCCGAACTTCATCAGGAGTATTATCACATATAGTCGGCTGGAAACAATGAGGATCAGGTAGCTTCGCCATCTTGTCTGCAACCATATTTATTTCACGAGGAATCCAAACAATCTCAGTTACCCAGGCACGTCTTCGAAGACCTGCAATAGCACGCCACAAGTTGGACAGCTTGCTTGCAATCACATTGAATCTTGAGGAGTTCAAAATCATGTAACCAAGCTAGGCGTAAACCAATAATAATACCCCAAAGCTCCGTTTGTAAAGAGTTCGAAGTTCCAATATGTTGAGAGAAACCCATTATCCATATGCCCTCCCAATCGCGGATTACGCCTCTCACTGAACTTGCTCCTGTGGCTGGATGCAAGGCTCCATTAGTGTTAAGGCAGAACCAACCATGCGGCAGTCTTTTCCATTGATAAAAGCTAGGTTGCTTGAGCGGTAAAGGGGTTGTTGTCAAGTTACATCTGTTAAAATGCAACGCCCATGCCAAGCTATGATGCAGAACAATATCTTTTTCAGAAATTAAACCATGAAAAACTGTCATTTCGCCTTTTCCAAAGCTGCCAGATAATAGAGGAGAAGGTTAGGTTCCACGATAGTCACCATCTAGAGTAGTTGAAGAGAGATTTGCATATAACCAGTCCGGAAGTTCCAAATGAAAAAAAAAAGTCGCTGCTAGAGTTTGTTGAATAACTTGTACCCATAGGAGTTTGTTGGATCATAAACTTATCAATTATGGGAGCCTAAACCCAAACCCAAACTAAATTGATGTCATTACTTACATCATTTAATTAAAGATGCCATTGCTTACATCATTTAATTAATGATGTCATTGCTTACATCAATTTAGTTAGGTGAGAGTTAGATATTTGTTGAATTTGTAATGGTTTAAATTAGTTTATTTGTGTGGTGTAGGATTGTTCTTGAGTAGTATAAATACCCCTTCCCATTTTAGTTTTAAGCATCAAGAAAAATTAAGAGCTTCTAAGTGAGTGAATAAGCAAAGTCTTATAAGAGTGAGTTGTAGTTCTTGTTTTTGAGTGAGAGTACTCTTGTAATATTTGTTTGAGTTTCAATAAAAGTTGTTTGTGTGAGTGTTTTATTTCCAACAAAGTGGCATCAGAGAGAGTTGGAAAGATCGAAGGTCTCGACGAGAGGAATACGACGCCGCCATAATTTTCTCAATCTGAGTTCTGACGCACCGCCACGCACCGCCGGAAGACTGCTGCCAGAAAATCGAGTTGACTCACCGAGTTGAGCTGAGTCAGCCGAGTTGGAGCCCTTGACCGAGTTGTCCAAGTCCCTCCAAAGTTTTTTTTCATCGTTCCGGATTCATCCGTGTAATCGGATTTTACAAAATCTCATTATATTGAGAGATATGACAAATGGTATGGCACCATTCCAAGTTCCGACACTCAACAACAACAACTACGACAATTGGAGTATCAAAATGAAGGCACTTCTTGGATCACAAGATGTGTGGGATATCATAGAGAAAGGCTATAACGAGCATGCGGATGATGATGTTTTTGCTACTCTTACACCAGATCAAAAGACAACTTTGAAGGATTCAAGAAAGAGAGACAAGAAGGCTCTCTACCTCATCTATCAAGCATTAGATGATGATGGTTTTGAAAAGATTTCAAGTGCAAGCTCTAGCAAGGAAGCGTGGGAGAAGCTACAAACCTCTTACAAAGGATCCGAGCAAGTGAAGAAGGTTCGTCTCCAAACATTAAGAGGTGAATTCGAATCCTTAAACATGAAAGCATCTGAGTCTATTTCAGATTATTTCTCAAGAGTAGTAGCTGTTTCTAATCAATTAAAAAGAAATGGTGAAAAGTTAGACGATGTGAGGATAATAGAGAAGATACTCCGTTCGTTGGATCCCAAATTTGAGCACATCGTCGTGACGATCGAAGAAACTAAAGACTTGGAAGAAATGAAGATCGAATAGCTCCAAGGATCATTGCAAGCATACGAAGAGAAGCATAAAAAGAAGCATGAGTTTACTGAGCAACTCCTCAAGCTGCAACTCAAGGATATGCATGAGAGCCAACGCAATGATAGAAACCAACGTGGCCAAGGCAGAGGTAGAGGCCATGGACGAGGTGGAAGTCGAGGTCGTGGACGAGGCTGGAATTACAACAATAACAATTCCAACAATAACTATGAGAAAGGAGAAAGCTCAATACGAGGTCGTGGAAGAATTAATCCAAACTCAAAGTATGACAAATCTCAAATTCGATGTTATAATTGTCAAAAAATTTGGGCATTATGCTTCAGAATGTAGAGCTCCCAACAACAAATTGAGGAGAAGGCCAATTACGTGGAGAAAAAGACAGATGGCAAAGAAACTCTTCTTCTAGCACGAAAGGAAACTGATGGTGGCCAAGCAAATTCCTGGTATCTTGACAGTGGTGCAAGCAATCACATGTGTGGAAGGAAAGACATGTTTGTGGAGCTAGACGAGTCAGTAAGTGGAAATGTTTCGTTTGGAGATGATTCCACAATAGCAGTGAAAGGGAGAGGTAACATTCTTATCCGTTTG